GGGTTCGAGACAACCCATGGAGAAGAGATCCCACGTGAACCGCACGGCCTGGCTTACGGACGCGTCTGGCGGTGCGACATGGGGGTTCCGGCGTTTGGAAAATGGGTACAGAAGGGGGGAGACAAGGGTAGGGGAGGGAAAGGCGCAGCATCGGGATCGGTGCAGGGAAGACGAGGAGGAGGAGGAGGAGGAGGAGGAGGAGGAGGAGGAGGAGGAGGAGGAGGAGGAGGGAGAGCAGGAGGACAAAAGAGCGACGGAAAAGGAGGCAGGGTGTCGAAGACGGGACGAGGAGGGAGCGGAGGGAAAGGGGGGCGACGAACTGCCGGGCGTTCCTGGGCCCTGCCAGGACTCCCCGCGCAACCTTCCTGACTTCTCGAAAGGCGTGGTTCGGGACCGGCGCTTTCAGCCATGGCCATCGGCAATCTGGATGCCCATCCCGGAGGCTTATCTGGGGGCGAGGAAGAGAAGGACGGGATGGAGGAGGAGGAGGGAGGAGGCACGGGGCCTAGCAGTCAAGCACCAGTACAAACTGGTGCAGTAAGAAGACGGCGTCTGCTCGCAGACGACTCTGGGACCCTGAAAGAAAGAGGACATCATGAGCGCAGCAGGAGACCCTTCCTGCAGGGCGCACCTGGAAGCAAAACTGCCCCTGGAACCCAGGCGCCGGGAGTGGCTGTCGAGTTTTGGGATGGCGGCCCGCTTCAGCCTGGGCCAGGACTTGCCTCCGAGAGGGAAGGAGGTCAAGAGGGCCAGGGCGGGGGGCCGACGAGGCCCTGCCCACCCTGACGGACCCGGAGCCCCCGCGCCGCCGACGCCTGACGACCGAAGCCGCAACGGCAGCGTCGTGGCCCTCGGGCGCCCAGATCCTCGACGACAGCCTCACGACAGGCCCCCGCGGGCCAAGGGACCCCCCCCACAGGAGCCCCCATCCCGCCCATGCGGGCAGGCCCAAGGGCCCCACCGACAGGCCCAGCAGGGCCCGTCCCAGACACCTCCCCAGCAGAGCAAGGGGCCCCAGCCCCGCCCCCAAGGGCAGGCACAGGCCCCTCCTCACGGGCCCCCGCCGAGCAACCAACCGCCGCCGACCCACACCCAGCGGCAGCAGGAACTGCGCCCAACGAACGGAGTCCCCACCAGGCCCCGCGACCCGTGCCCCAGGAAGATGAAACAAAAACTCCACAAACAATAACTTCTGGCGCTCCGCGCGGGTTTCTGGGATCCGGGCTCGGAGGCGCCACCGGGATCCAAGGGCTCCGCGCGGAGCGCCAGGAGTTTGTGCTTACGGCGTATGTTCTTCTCCGAGCGCCGTCCAGCAGCTCCCGATCACGGCGTCGCCGTGCGTACGCTCCACGCTGCGCGGCGCTGCCTTGACTGGCCCCGCTCGGGAGCCACCGCGGCGCGGTCGAGCGGCCGTGGGGGGACGGGAGCGGGCCACAAATCGAAGACCGAGAGCGACGCGCCGCGCCCTGCGAGTGGACAGCGTGCCGCCGCGCTCCGCGGGGGCAGGATGCCGAGAAGGGCTCGGGACGTGGACGTCTGGGGAACCGCGACGTGGATAGCCTTCGGTCGGGCCCGGGCACGTCCCCCTACAGGCAGATTCTGGAGGAAGCGCCACAGTAGTCAAACATATATCTGTTCTCGAGATGGCACAACCAAGAAGCGAGAACTCGTCCCCGTATTATCTTCGGGCCCTTTCCGAAGATCCCCCTGCAGAGGGACATGCCCGACTTGAGGACAGCGTGCCGCACCGAGGCGTGGTGGGCCGGAGCCGGCGGAGCGACGCGCTGCCCAAGAGCTCCCGGCCGCAGCGCGCTCGCGCGCCTCTCCGCTGCCGCGGGGGCCCCGGCGCTGGAAAAGGTGACGGCCCAGCGGCCCCGTTCGGTGACGGCCTGCGTGTGTGTGTGTGTGTGTGTGTGTGTGTGTGTGTGTGTGTGTGTGTGTGTGCGTGTGTGTGTGTGTGCGTGTGTGTGTGTGTGTGTGTGTGTGTGTCTGTGTGTGTGTGTGTGTGTCTGTGTGTGATGTGTGTGTGTGTGCTTGGGTGGCGCGTCGGCCATGGCGTCAGGATCCGAACGCAAGCCGCCATAAACACACACACACGCACAATGCGATCGAGGAGGAGGACGAACCGCCCTCTGCCTGGGGGCCTGCAGACGACTTGAAGAAATGCTGCTGCAAGAGTTCGAGAAGAACTCTCCTCAAGTCGTACAACACTTGAGAAAGCGAGGGCTCAGACTAAAACTCCACCCATCCCAGGTGTATCTGTAACTACAAGAATCTGCAGCAGTAACACCAGCGGCAGGAGCACCAGCTGAAGTAGCAGGAGCAAAACATCGAATATCTGAAGGGAGCAGGAGCCGCAGGAGACCAACGAGGACCCCACGGAGTGCCCCAATCAGTGGCCCAAGCTCGCCCAAGATGACACCGTCGTGGCCTTCCTATGTACAGCATTGTTGTGGAGCTCCTAATAGCAGCACCGAAATGGTTCCGATTTCTGCCTTCAAGATCAGCCCCCGTGTCTTCGAAACGTGATGGCGTGTTTAAATGCGTGCGAGGTGTCTGACAGGGCCTCTGCAAGAATCAAGGGGCGACACCCAGCCCTCGTCGCCACCCAATGTCGACCCCTCGTCCTCTGAAGCTTTGCTCTCCAGCACCCTTCACGGCCAGAGTCAACCACCAAATTTCCCCCAAAACCGCAATAAAACGGCTGCAATATTCCCCAAACCCGACCCGACAAGACCCGGAGACCACCCAGACGCCCCCAAGATGTTTCCAAGAGGCCCCTGGGACGATCCTTTCAAGCCCTTCAACGACGCCCTGAGATGTACTGTTCAATCAGAACACCAAATGAGCTTCGACGTGCTGACTTCTTTCGTTGTGTGTGTGCGCGGATGTAATGTGATGTGTGTGTGTGTGTGTGCGTGTGCGTGTGCGTGTGCTTGTGCGTGTTTGTGTGTGCTTTTGTGCACGTTGGCTTCCAAGGCGCTCCGGCAGAGGATGGCCTCGGAACGGCCACAGAAAGCCCCAAGACTGCCCGAAAGGGCCCCGAGAAGCCCCCCAGGATGAACCCCAAGCTGCCCCAAAATCCCCCAAGACATGCCAAGATCGTCCCAGGAGGGCCCCAAGAACAGACCACATCGCCATCAAGATGGTTCTGGTGAGGCTCTTCGGGGGAGCTCGCAGGGACCCTCAAGACGGCCATACGACCACCAACAGGCCCTGTAGAGTAGCCCGGGAGCGTCCCAAGAGGCCCTGTGGAGGCCCCAGTGAAGCACGCAAAACGCTTCAAATAAGCCACCAGGATGCAACGCAACAACCATGCAACATTACGCCCGCGCACCCTGCAGCATGGTAGCGATGCTTCCAACATGGCCTCAAGATGGTACTGAGTGCGCTCGGGAGCGCTCTGCAACGCCACCCTGGCATATCGATGCTGAGCTGTCGCGGTGATTGGATATTCTGCTACAGACTGCTGAATAACCCTACGATGCCCCGAAATATCACAGGGTGGTTGGAAGAGCCCCAAAGTTGCCACAACAAGCACCGAGGTAGCCTCAAGCAACTCCAGCCAGACGTGCCCCAAGCCGCAAATCCATCACTGAAGGTTGCCGAACGACATCCGGCGAAGCCCTCTGGATCTTTTCGCGACCTTTGGCCATTCGGCCTGTTCGCAGTGGTCGGAGTTGGCCCCAAAATGCCCCCCCGGGCAGTTCCGCCCTCGCGCCCCCGGGTGACATAGAGCACTCTCGGACGGAGGCCTGCAAAGGACGCCTTCTTTTGTCTGCGCAGGGGCCGTCATGCTACCGCGCGTCCGTGAATTCAGCACACGCGCGCGCGCGCTTCAAACGGTCCGCACCCTGCCAGTGACCTGACCTGGTGCCGGGGCACGATCTGCACTGCCGACCTGTCTGTCTCGACCCGCCTGCCTCTAACTACGCCTTCTTATGAGCCTTGCTGGTGGCCTTGTGCTGCCCCTTGCCGCCCGCCTTCGTCGTGTGCTCGCTCTTCGCAGCGGCGTGGGCCTTGTGCTGAATCTTGGCCTCCGGCTTCCCCTGGTGCTTGTGCACCGCCACGCCCTTGGCGCTTAACTTGTGCTGGCTCTTCCCCTCCGCCTTCGCCCTGTGCTCTCCCGTCGCGGCGGCCTTGTGCTTGCGCTGGGCCACCGAAAGATCCGTGGCGTGCAGCAGATGCTTCACCTCGCCCTTCTTGCCCGTGTGCTTGCCAGTGGCTTCCGCCTTCGCCGCGTGCTGCTTCGCATGCTTCTGCACCGAGACGGACTTGGCCTTTGTCGCACCTTCAGACTTCGCCTTGTGCTCGCTGTTGGACTTCACGTGCGAAGCAGTCTTGCTGCTGGTGCCCACCAGCATCCCATGCCTCGGTTTTGACCCGCTCGAGGTCTGGAGAGCGGCGACGTGCTTCGCGGGCTTCTTTTCGGTTTCCGATTCGACACTGGCCTCAGGTCGGGCCTGTCCCCCTACATAGAGGATTTGGGGCGAAGAATTAAACATGTTCAAAGCATACGTCCCGACTGCCCAATGCTTTTCGGCGAAAAGTTAAAGAATAGCCCACACATATCCAAACATGGTTCGGACATACTAGGCACATCGTCCCCAGACTAGTTTTTTTTGGTAAAAAAAATCTATCTTTGAACTTTCCCCGTGTAGAGGGACAGGCCCGACTTCGCACTGGCCTGCAGCGCACCACACTGGGACAGGCCGAGCAGCAGGAGCCCGACCGGAAGGCAGACGAACCTGCACATCTGTGAAGCTGTTGAATGAAGTGGAGACCCAAGTGCGAATCAAGGTACCGAGGCAAAATCGCTGATAACAGGCGACGAGGGAGGAGGATGCGGAGAAGGAGAAGGTGGATACTGGCCCTGGACCTCGAATCCGAAGCATGCTGGCCCGTACCATTCACCTGAAGGCAGATGAACCTGCACATATGTGAAGATGTTGAGTGAAGTGAAGACCCAAGTGCGAATCAAGGTACTCCAGATTTCGTACTAAAGGGAGGGGGGTCTCATTTCGGGGGGGGTTCTTCCAGGCTATCTTGGAGGGCCTGGGGGGTCTGGGGACGATGTTTTGGAGGGTTCTCCCACGGGGGAGGTCTGAAATGGCTTGTCTTGGAGGGTCCAGACCCCCTCCTTTTTATTACGCAATCTGGAGTACTAAAGCAAAATCGCTGATAACAGGTGACGAGGGAGGAGGATGAGGAGAAAGAGAAGGTGGATACTGACCCTGGACCTCGAATCCGAAGCATGCCGGCCTATACCAATCACCGGGTCCCCTGCGCCCCCCGGCATCTGGCGGCAAACTTATATGAGGTGGCAGCGGGAGGTGGAGAAAAGCGGGGGCAAACATGTCCGCTCCGAAAGGGGGAGGAGGACTGGGACTCCCGAGCCTTCGTGTGATCGCAGATGGCCCAAGTCTCAATGGGCCCTGGAGACTCCAATGAAGTTAGTGTCCGGCTCCGTTCGCCAGTGGTTGCTGCCAACTTCTGCCGACATTTGTTGCCCGCTTCAGGCATCACGTTTTTGTTGCAATTTTGGGGGCCAATTTGTTCGGCGTGGCCATGCCCAAGGGCGAGACATCCGGGAACCGAACAAAAAACAAACGGTTCTGCCGCTTCCAGGGCCAACCAAGGCCTACGAGCATTCGCCACCCCTCGGGGTGGGGCATGTGGCGGGGACATCCCACCAGCCCTCTGGGTGCAGGTTGTTTGAACGAGTTGTTTGCTGTTCTCTGCCAAAGCCCGCATATCCCCCTGCACTGGGAAGGGGTTTACCCCTCCCCCTGCCCCTCCCCCGGGTTCGGACGGGCCGTCCCGCGGGTAGCTAGAGCGCCCAATATGGGCCAAGGTAGCCCCAAGAGGGCCTCAGGGAGGCCAAGATAGCCGCCAAGGTGGCTCAAGGTAGCCGCGACTGGCCCAAGATAGCATCTGGCCCCAAGACCGCCCCAAGACGATTTCAACTGCCCTTCGACCCTCCCAAGGCACCCTGCTAGAGGCCAGAACCCGTCAAACACCGACGGAAATCAGTGTGTGTGTGTGCGTAGTGTGCTTGTGTGTGTGTGTGTCTGTGTATGTGTGTGTGTGTGTGTGTGTGTGTCTGTGTCTGTGTCTGTGTCTGTGTCTGTGTCTGTGTCTGTGTCTGTGTCTGTGTCTGTGTCTCTGTGTGTGTGTGTGTGTGCGGAGGGGGCGGTTGGAAAACGCGCCTGTTCGCCCCCAATGGGCTGCTGAGGCCTCCAGATGGGCCCAAGATGGCCCAAGAGAGCCGCAAGGGGAGCCCAAGAGGCGCCCAAGAGGGTCCCGAGAGCGCCCAAGGGCGCGGCCCAAGAGGGCGCAGAGACGGCATGTTTGAGCCTCTGAGGGGGGGACCTGAATTGAGGCCCCCCTCTGTTTGAGCCATGGCGTGCAAGAAGCCTCCCCGACCCCTCCAACGATCCCCAAGAGGGGCTGAAGACCCCCGAGGTGAACGCCAAGAGGGCCCCAAGCGTGCCCCACGAGGCCCCACATGGACCCCCAGAGAGGCCCTGAGATGGCCTTGGTCGTCCTTCAAGCACTTCTCGCCGCACCACAACATATCTCCAAAGCCCGACTGCTCATCCTCGTTGGCATCGTCCGTTCCGTCGCTCCTCTGTCCTGCCTCCTCCCTCCATTCCTTCTTCTTGTAGATAACTCCTCCCGGTCTGCCCCCGAGGCCTGTCGAAGTGGCGGACAGGACGCTTCTTCTGAGACTTCCTCACCGTGTATGATCCTGTAGCGTAACAGCTGACATCAGCTCCGCGGACGGAGGACGGACATGGTTTTCAGCATACGGCTCGCGCAGTAGCGCCGCGCGCATTCGTTTTGAAGCACTGCAGTGGTTTCACGGATTGAGGACGGGCCGCTTTCAAAATGCGGCTCTCGCATTAGCGCCGCGCGCATTCGTTGCACAACTTTGCAGGAGCTTCACGGATTGAGGGTGGGCCGTTTTCAAAATGTGGATCTCGCCTTAGCGCCGCGCGCATTCGTTCTGGACACTTATGTGGCTCTCGCCTTAGCACCGCGCACATTCTTTTCGAACGGTTGCACGCGTTTCACGGATTGAGGGCGGGTCGGGGTCGAAATGTGGCTCTCGCCTTAGCGCCGCGCACATTCGTTTAAGATTGCTCGGGCGAAAAACCCAACCGAATGCACCTGTGAATACCGCCGATGTGAAACACGCCTTCGGTGGAGCTCTCTACGGGGCCACGAAGCGCGTGAAGGCAGCGCCGGAATGGCGCGGGGCCGCCATGCCGGCGTTGCAGCTGGGGCGCGGAGGTCAGACGAAAAGGGTTACATGCTGATGTACCCGCTGCGGCTGAAAAGGCACCGGGAACAGCTGGAGAAGACATGCCAGCGCAGCCACTGGGGCCTTAGGTGGAGCTCCCTATGGGGCCACGAAGCATGTGAAGGTTGTGCCAAAATAAGGGGGGTGGCAGCATGCGAACGCAGCCACGGGGGCCTTGAGCGGAGCCCCCTATGGGGCCGCGGGCCGTGTGAGGGGTGTGCCAAAGTGAAAGGGGTGGCGGCATGCGGGCAAAGCCTCTGGGGCCTTAGGTGGAGTTCCCTATGGGGCCACGAAGCGAATGAGGGGTGTGCAAAAGTGAGGGGGGTGGCGGCATGCGGGCGCAGCCACTGGGGCCTCAGGTAGGGCTCCCTTTGTGGCCACGAAGCGTGTGAGGGGTGTGCCAAAGTAAGGGGGGTGGGGGCATGCGGGCAAAGCCCCTGGGGCCATGGGGCCACACAGTAAAAGGGGTGGTGGCAAGAGACCGCAGCCACTTTGGCCTTAGGTGAAGCTCCCTATGGGGCCACGAACCGTATTAGGGGTGTGCCAAAGACTTTGGCCCAAAGTGCTTCAAATCGACCACATGAGGCCGAAGTTACTTTTGAATTACTTTCGGGCTATATTAACGTTTCTGAAGGCATGTGAGCTGTGGTAGCACTTCCTTCTCACAAGCCAAAGTGAAAGGGGTGGCGGCATGCGGGCAAAGCCTCTGGGGACTTAGGTGGAGCTCCCTATGGGGCCACGAAGCGAGTGAGGGGTGTGCCAAAGTGAAAGTGGTGGCGGCATGCGGGCGCAGCCACTGCGACTTTAGGTGGAGTTCCCTATGTGGCCACGAAGTGTGTGAGGGGTGTGCCAAAGTGAGGGGGCGGCAGCATGCGAACGCAGGCACTTGGGGTGTGGGTGGAGCCCCCTATGGGGCCACGAAACGAGTGAGGGGTGTGCCAAAGCGAGGGGGGGGCAAAATGCCGGCGCAGCCAGTGAGGCCATCGGTGGAACTCCCTATGTGGCCACGAAGCGGTGTTTGGGGCCACGTAACGTGCGCGGGTTCTGCAAAAGTGATAGGGTAATGCGGCATGCGGGCGCAACCACGGGGGCCTTCGGTGGAGCTGCCGCGAAACGAGTGAGGGGTGTGCCAAATTGAAGGGGGTGGCGGCATGCGGGCAAAGCCACTGGGGCCTTAGGTAGGGCTCCCTTTGTGGCCACGAAGCGTGTGAGGGGTGTGCCAAAGTGAAAGAGGTGGCGGCATGCGGGCAAAGCCTCTGGGGCTTTAGGTGGAGCTCCCTAAGGTGCTACGAAATGTGTGAGGCGTGTGCCGAAGCAGAAACGTGAAAGAGGAGGGGATATGACGGCGATGATCATGACGATGGTGATGGTAAGGACATGCGGTGGGCAGACGCAAGGTTGGGAGAATGCAGAAGCGGGAGGAGGAGGAAAGGAGGAGGAGGAGGAGGAGGAGGAGACGCGGGGCGCTGCTGATTCCTAACAAGGGCAAAACACAACAGGATGGTCGGTACAACTAGCAAGATGTTCACGGATTGGGGGCGGTTCAATTTCAACATGTGGTTCCTGCCGTCACGCCGCGCACACTCGCATTAAACGGTTGCAAGAGCGTGAGGGTTCCCAATGGTGCGCGTACTAGACACGATACTTTGGAACGATGCAGGGCTGCCAAGGCGCGACAGTTACACTCATTCTCTGTGTTGTAAACCCAGGAATGCAGGAATGGCGTTCTGGCGCGATTCAGGATCGTCAAGGCGCCACAGTCAGGTTGACTCATGGCGTTGAAGTTCCGAGGATGGTGTTTTGGCACGGTTCAGGATCTGCAAACAGTTGTCTCCAAACGGGGCACATCCCTCAAGGACAATGAACCCCTGTAGTGGCCAATCGGGAGGGGGCTTGGAAGGAGGGTTTATTCCAACATCGTTGATGGGTCATGGGTTTGCACTGGTCCTCCTCTTCCTCCTCCTCCTCCTCCTCCTCCCCCTCATGTTCCACATGCGGAATTCCTCTCCCTCCGACGCTTCTTCCCCCTCCTTCTCCTTCTATATTGTTCCTCCTCCTCTTCCGCCTCCTCCTCCTCCTCCTCCTCCTCTCCCTCCTCCTCCTACTCCCAAGATGGTCCCACGAGGTCGAGTTTGGATCAAGATAGCCTCCGACAGACCTCTAAGAGGCCTCAAGACATACTCAAAAAGGTCCAAGATAGCTGAGCATGGCTCAGGATAACCTCCGACTCAAGATAGCCTTCAAGAGGCCTCAAGAAAACCTCCGATCGTGTCTAGATGGGCTTGTGGGGATACGCGAAGCGTCAGAACTTCTCATGCCTGCTAGCGTTGACTGAAAAATCCGCCAGCAAAGCCAGCCTCGTCGTACCCCGCAAAATCTTCCGCTGGCCTCCGCCAGGGCAAGCCCCGAGACCTCCACCGACACGGTGCTTTGCGACGTGGTCCCGCGGAACTCTCGTCGACCCCTTCCGCTGGGACGAACTTTCATCCCACGTCGTTCTTTGTTGATGGTCCCTGGTCCAGCAAAAGACTTTGAAAACGCCGGCCGTCGCGACTTCCCCATGGCAGAAGGTCTAGGCCCTGGATTCCTCGAAGGCGAGGCCGCTCTTGAAACGCCCCGTGTGACTCACGAGCAGGCTCAGAACGCCTGGCTGGGACGCCCCCGAGAGCAGCTGATAGATTTAAGTCTGGCCTG